AGTAGTGCATCAGCAGCTGCGTTGGCGTTTCCGGCCGCCTGTACATGAAGTTGTAGCAAACCTCACGTCAGCTTTGCCAGAATGTATCATGCGAGCCTATGCAGACAGTGAAGGCCCTGGCATCTGGCTTGATGAGAAGGAAGCAGACTGGATCCAAGAAAGTTGCAACTTTGACCTGATCTGGCAGTTGGCACTTCTTAGTCTGAGTCCTCGTGGTCAAAGGACTATCTGAGCACACTGCCGTCTCCTTGGAATTCTTGCACATCCAGGCCACCACGATGGAACCGAAGGAATGGCCGACGAAGTGAGCCTCCAATCTTTCGACTTACAGCGAGCAGACCTCCCCCTCCCCGCCCCCCTCCCCCGCATGTTTGGCGAGGCACCGAATCGAATTCCCAGCTGGCGAGCATGTCCCGGAGGCAGGCGACCATCTCTGCACTGGAAGGCACATCCTGTAGCTCAGCTCGCCCGACGCTCGCCCGACCCCCAACCCGACTCCCAACCCCCACTAACTGGCGTCCTCGTTGATTCGCATCGAGATGTGCGGCAAGGATACCAGGAAGATACTCTTGCCCTTCGGCACTTGCCTCTTAAGGACTAAGTCCAACCAGCAGCAGTTAGGCTCGCAGTTCCAGCCTCAACAGCTCCGTGATGAAGTGCTCCTGAAGGCCCAGAGACTACGGCTGCACGCTTGCAACGTAGTCTGCTGCAGTTAGATGTGACTGGAAAGCCACAGCGATGTTGATGGAATGCTTCTCGACACTCGACCATCGGCAGCTGCGATGTCAAGCAGCAACCCCTCCAAGCAACTCCGTGACTGTCTTTAGCTTCCATGCCACAGGGCTATAACATGCTACAACAACTACAGGGTCTGGAGGGAGCCATACTGATGCACTGCTGCGGGCACTTCCAGAATCAGTATCAGACTCATTCCCATCACTTGTGTTCAGAACCCTCCACGATGAAAACAGCACGAGCAGCCCAGTTGGGAAACCAGTTGCCTCTGAATCTCCAGAAACTCGCTTTGCAAGCCAAGCTGCGTATGGCAGCAAGTTGACCCCCACCCCGTGGCAAAAGACGATAGGGGGCTCTGCGCCTGGAACATGCCCAAGCAATTCCCAAGAGCGAAATTCTCGATACGGCTGGCTCTAAGCGCCGTTCTCTTGCCCCTGCCACGACGAAGCCAGTACTGAAGCGTACCACTCCTAGCACTTCAGGTGCCACAAGATGGAAGCTGCTGATAAGCCAATCCGCAGCAAATAAGCTCCGGTCTTGTACTTCCGAAAACCCAAGCTCTCAAGGTTGTAGTAAGTCACGACCTTTTTTGCTGCGGTGCTGGGCAGCACTAGGCACAGGTTACGGCTGCTTCTCGGCATAACTCACGCCGCTTTCTGAGCCCAAATCCGGAAGTGCGAGGGCCGTCACCTGGCTAATTTCATGGTCTGGCGATGCAAAAGATGCAGCTTCTTTTTGAAGTTGAGTATCTCGGCGGCTGGCAATGTAGTACAACATCGGGCGATGCTCGGATGGGATGGGATCCTGCTCATGAATCTGGAGAAGCTAGCCATCTCTGGAGCGAATCTGCCCAATCCAAGGCTGCAGCCATCGTCAAGCGCATGGCCTCATCACGACACACAGCTTGCATCTAGTCCGGTCCGACGTGCCTCTTTAGCAGCATGACGGACCTGCACGTGCGGGTTGTACCCCTCGGGGAACTCAACGCCAGCCCAAACAGCACCTGCCAGCAGCCAACTAATTTCAGCTTGACTTGGCGGTGCACAGTTACAGTCCAGCCTTCATCTACTAGCTGGACAAGTTCTGGCCACCTACTTTCGGGCACCTGGCCGGAAGCCAAGAAACTTCGAATGCCGAATATGCACAAGGTCGAGGCACTTTTTTCCAGTTCAAGCTCTTCGAAGGCAGCCAGCTGTCTGCAATATCTCGCGACAGTGCCGCTTCCTTTCGGAGTTGCCTGGGCCGAGAAAGTCGAGCGCATTGTCTCCGTTCTCGTCGACTGCATGGACATCAGCTCGACACTGTAGTAAGAGCCGGCAAACGCTTCCCCTAGCCCGGTTAGCCGCACAAAGAAGTGGAGTCTCCTTGAAATCGTTGCGAGAATTAGGGTCGACTCTTCGTGCCAGGAGAACTTGCATGATGGCCAGGTGCCCACCACGAGCAGCCAAATTCAACGGCGAGTTGTGTCCTTTTGTCCGTACACAGATATCTGGGCGCACGCCTTCTGCCAGTAATGCCTTGACTGCCTCTATATCCCCCTCGTAGCATGAATTTGCTAGACGAACGCCATCCGCAGATCTGGGAGACAAACCTTCAAGTTCATCTGTTTCAGGAGGCGCTTCGAAGGTCAAAGTCACCGAACCTGGCCATGCATTGTATGCTTTGGACAGTACATCGCCCAGTTCCCGCTTGGACATCCTCAATCGCCAGCCAGCCGGAACACCCTTCCCAGGTAATGTCACTCGCATGCACATGATGGCTGGATCAAGGAAGCTCATATCCCTTTTCAGGTCCTCCATGAGCGTATACGTTACGTCCACCGGATCAGCCATGGCAGTACAGTAAGCAGGGGCTGTTGCAATCATGCACAGCCTTATCGTATCCAACCCTTTAGCTTTTGACCGACACTTCATGCTGTAGCTTGACATGCAGTGAGGGGGAAACGAAGCGGCTCGAAACGTGAAACTGCACAGAGCCCGACTGCCACGGTCTCTTGCTGCAGTGGCTAAAGAAAGAGCGCAAAAGAACGAGAGAGAGAGAGAGAGAGAGAGCGATAGAGAGAGAGAGAGATACAGAGAGAAAGAGAAAGAGAAAGAGATAGAGAGAGAGAGAGACAGACAGAGGGAGGGCTGCTCCAGCACCTCGTCCGGTGTGCAATGGAAAAAGGCCCACCTCCGGCGGTCGGCTGCCAATGCACTGCGGACATGTCACAATATGTTGTGCCGCAGGGCCCTGAGTTGGCCGCGCCATCCATTCGGCAAGATTTCCACGGCAGATTTCTGCCACGCTCGCAGCTGACCAGCGGCAGCCTGTGCGACGGTCGAAAAACCTCGGCGGCGCCACACACTCCTTGGAGAATCACATCCCGGCAAAATCCAAGCGGACCGTCGTTCTGCCGCTGCTGCAATGCAGGGTCCAAGCTTCGGCATCTGACAGGCTCTTCAAGCTTCAAAGAGCGAGCCCGAGGAAGCAAAGAGCCCGAAAGTCGGCCAACGTTGGCCAACATCAAACAACTGCCAGTTTTGCAGCAGCGGCCTTTGCACTTTCGCTCCACTCAGGCAGATCTTGAATCCCACTGCAGGCCTGCCAGCATGTCAATTTGTGCAAGGACACACATGCCGTATTTGTCGAACCAACTGCACCGGCAGGTCTCAACTCAAAAGCCTGAAAAGTAGGCTGGCACTGTTTCTCGGTGCACTGTCGGCACACCGGATTTCGGTCTCCGCCCCGAGCACATGGCCTTGGCACAACCCCAACGCCATCAAAGCAGCGGCGGTTTTCAAGCACAGGCAGTCAAGGCCCGCGGCAGCCAGCACTTGGTCGCAGTGCAGCTGACCAGACCTGAGTCAGCAGACACAACCACTTCGCAGCAACTTCGGTCTTCGCATGCACCTCTGCGAGCCCCCGGCCGCCGAAGCATTCTGCACAGGCCTGGCCTGAGTGGCACCGCGCACACCCACTGCAAAAGAAGCAAAGGGTGCTTTGGGAAGCGAGCCGTATCCCCTCTTGGCCATGCAATTCGCCGCACACACCGCACGTCCCAAGCATCGTTGGCCGCAGACATCAATCTCCTGAAGCTCATACATGCAAAGACAAAGGCCCGAGAGCTTTGCCAATCGGGGAGCCTGCAGGAAGGCAGCGCGACCGCCACCCTGCCAGGTAGCCTTGTCCTCAGAGCACGGGTGCGAATCTGTGACGTTCACCGTTCACGCCGTTCACTTCCTTCGGGTGCTGTAGAACCGAGGAGCCGACGGCCTTGCTTAGACAAGCGCTGCTCAAGGCCGCCTGCTGGCGGCCGCCGCGCCCTTTCCAACACACCTGCCGAGTCGACCGGCGACCGGCGACGCCATGACTCTCGCAGGTCGCCCCGGTCGCCTTTCCCCTCTCTCCCGACTCTTCCTCAAGCTGTATTCTCAGCTTCCCAGTAGCATGAAGTGCCCTCTTGAAAAGCAGCTGCAATGCCGCGCACCACAACATGCTTGCGCTGCAGCCCTGAGGAAGTGACACGGCAACACGAGCCGAAGGAAGTGACATGCCGACACAAGCTGACCAGCACTACCAAGCAAAAAGACAGACAGCAAAATCCTGCCTGCTCACCTTTGTACAAGTTTTTGCACAGCAAAATGTTAAACAGTTCTTGTGGAATCATTTCGCTGGAAAGTTCGTCTGACCCTCAAAGCGGTTCCACGTAACATCTTAAGCCAGATGACATGCCAATCGTGAGCTGCGCGTCTGCACGAATGTTTTCTGGCGCGACTGCAAGACGCAAGCTGAAGTTCCCAACGAGTGAGCACAGCATTGCTTTCATCTCCAGCATTGCTAAGCGCTTTCCGAGGCATTCACGTGGCCCTGCATGGAACACTGGGTTCTCATAGGGTGACTTCGCGGCTTCCATCTCCAGCCACCTCTCCGGGCGAAATTCGGATGCGTCCGAGCCCCAAATCTCCCGAGATCGGCCCATGGCATAGGACATGTAGATCAGGGCGGCTCCTCTTGGAACATGAGTCCCATCGGGCAGAGTGTCAGCACTGGCCACGAACTTGGGGTCCAAGGGCACAGATGGGTACAGTCTAAGGCTTTCCCGTATGGCAGCCTCTAGGTACCGAAGTTTGCCGAGCTTCTCGTAGTCTAAACCCTCCGCATTGCCACAGACTTCCGAGATCTCACTCCGGACTTTCTCTTGCACCTGTCCGTTTCGCATCAGCAGAAACAAGCACCAGGACATGGCTTGTGCCGTGGTGTCCCGCCCCGCAATGAGGAAATTCAAGACCATGTCAGACAAGAAGTCCGGCGACAGCGAAGGATCACTCTTCATGAACAGGCCAACGAAGCTGTCCCCGGCTTCTGTGTCGAGCTTCTGCGACAGCTCATGGATGATCTGCATGCTGTACTCCTTCAAGACTTTGAAATGGGCTTCGGCCTTTCGCTCATACCCCAGCCCAAGGAACCGCAGAAGACGCCAGCCTGGAATCACAAAGCGCCAGAACAAGATCCGCTGGGCCTCGTCGAAGGAGTTGAGGAAAGGCGAGTCGGCATTGTCCAAGGATCCGACGGATGCTCCGAAGCCGATTTCCCCGATTGAATCCAGCGTGAAACGATTCAGGATGTTGAACATGTCGACGTCCCCGTCGTGAGCTCGCAGCAAGTCCATGACCTTCTTGCAGTTCTTCTGTACAACTCTCCAAATGTGATTCTTAAATCGGTTGGCCGTGAACATTTGGGAGGCTGTCTTCCTCTGCATAACCCAGTCCTCACCATCTGCATTGAATATGCCCTTTCCAAGCAAGTCGTGGGTGATCGAATTGAAGAAAGGACCCTTGGGATAGTTGCTGAAGTTTTGTTTCAGCATGTACTCGACATTTCGGGGATCACGAGTGATGACCAAAGGTGTCACGAAGAATCGGAGTATGCCAAACTGCAAAAAGATGGTGTTGCCCTCTTTCTCATGCATCTGTGTGAGCTCCTCCAAAAAATTGTATCTTCGGATAGCCGACCACAGCCTGGGCAGCACTCCCAAAAGACTCTCCCCACTGATCTCGCTGCATCCTTTGGGCTGACGCTGCAAGAGGGCAGCGGCAGCAACTGACACGGCACCCAGCGCCACACATGAAATGCCAACATTTGCCTCCCAAGTCCTTGAATCCCAAGTCCTCACCAGACTCATGGCAACCACGTACAAGCTACACTGTTGTGCTACGCCTCTGCAGCTGTGGCGTGCCAAAGGCTGAAGCAAACGTGGAAAAAGCTTCTGACTGACCAGCATGCGGTAGCATACGCAGCTCAGAGATCGACAGCAAGCGCACCATCTCGCAACATCCAAGCTAATTCCAATGCTCCGGCTTCGAACTCGAGATGCAACATCAGGACAGGAAGCTGGGACCACGACAAGGGAAATCGCCGCAAGAAGTGCCAGCACCTCTCTCTCACACTGACGACACGAAACTCAGAGTGGGGTTTGGATGGCACGACTTCCCCCGGCCTGCCATCCGCGGCGCGGAAGGCTCATGGCAAATAGCACACGGATGCATAGAGCTCTGATTGAAAAAGCGTGGTCTCCAAAGTGCCAGACGTCAGGCTGCGTGTTTATCAAAGCCGGCGCTTGCGACTCGCGCTTTTGACGGTTGCAAATCTGTGCAACTTGCCAGGCTTTGAACCCCACATCCGATTCAGGCAAGAATCCCTGTTCTGCTCCTTCAGACCGGCGGAAGCTCTGTGAGGCTGAGGTCCAGGCCAGCCACTAATTTCTGCATGCTTCAGCCTCACTTAGCGCTCGCATGCTGTGGTCATGCCGAAGAGACACGGCCCTCGGGAAGTCTCAGATTCCGGCGCCATCATCTCTGCATCGTCCATGGCGCTCTCAAAAGCCATCCGCTCCTTCAGCAAAAGCCTTTATCTGCATGTATCTCGCACTTCGCTACGGGTAGCGGCCGCTGAAACGGTGCCTTCTCGCTTAGCAGAACCGCCGGCGCCATGTTCTGCGACTGGGAATTAACTGCCAGGTCAAGGCGGTCACGGCACGGCCGGCTCGGCGCTGAGAAGCCGACCAGCGCCTCTCTTGAGAGTGTCCCATTCTCGGAGCAGCTCCTCAACGTTGGACTCATTCCTCTTTGGGCGGAGTGCCTTCAGAGCTGCGTTCGATTCCAAAACTCAGCAGCAAGCTTCAACAAGGATGTCATCTGCAGTTCCATCAGAGCCATCAGAGCTTTTCCAAGCAGCCAAAAACCTCTTCGGGCGGTGGGACTGCCACGGCTACATGTCAGACTACTCTAGCTGGAAGCAAAGCCAAGCCAGCAATTCAAAGCTGAGGCTTCTTTCTTCGAGCCTCCTGCAGATCCTGCATGCTGGCCATACTCGCCTGAGCACATGGGAGGCAGAAGTTCTTCAAGGCCTAAAGAGCCCTTGGAATGCCAAGGCCAAGGCCTTGGGAGAGAGATGCGGAGTGATCCGGCCCTGGGAGCCTCGGCTAAAAACATGCCAAGGGGGTAAAGAGGACATCCCGGTGTTTCTCACGGCTCCGGCCGGAGGGTTCCAGCAGTCGGCCGCAGGCCTCCGACCAGAGCTCAAAGCGAAGCTGAAGGGATATCCACATCTTGCAACCGCCAGACAAGAGATTTGCAACAGCCGACACCCGACTCCAAGCGAGCTCGGATCAGGATGCCGTGGACAGCAGGAGCCTGAATGTCTTGCGTCGCTTGCAGAACTCGGCGGAGGACGTCCTCAGCCAGCAAGAGCAAACGCAGCGAGGGCTGTTGGGGATCGGCTCATGGCAGCTGCGCAAATCGGCACTCACAAACTGACGACATCTCCCTTTCAGGCACCGCCCAGCAGAGCCCAGCAGAGATGAGCGGAGGCCTTTTGCCCCCAGGTCGCCTTCAGAAACTACGGCTTTCTCCAGTCAGGATGTATTTTCCGTACCGTCTAGCTTGTTCCTCAATAACGTCGTGGGAACTGCGTGCTCGCTGCCGTCCAGGTTGAACTTTGCGTGTGGGGCGCCCCCCATGGCTCGAGCAACTAATCTTGCAAGTAGTGTGCTTCCAGTTCGTACAGCAGCCCGACAGCGGAGAGGCTGCAGCTCCCTTTCTCCAGCCCTGCCAGGGCGGTTTCATAGGTGATAACCTCGGTAAGCGAAGTCGGACAGCTGCTGAGAAGCTACAACCGTTCGTGCAAACTGATTATAAACTCCATGCTGCGTCCATCTTCAAGTTGTATCCGCTCATCTCCGACATCAGCGACAAGGCCAGGGTCCACTTGGAACTCACCGAGCACGTGCTAAGGGCAGCATTATACGAGATCAGGTCGAGCTGTAATGATCTCATCTTCATCTCACTGAGAAGCCACACCGCGTGAGCCCAGGAATGTGCCTTTTCAAAAGCACTGATCGCTGAGTTGTAAGTGTAGCAGTTGGGCTCCACTCTGGAGTCGGGGAGGCCAAGCATGTGAAGGGCCTCACGCCAGCGCCCGGCCGTCTCGCAGGTGCTGATCACCGCGCTGTACGTCACGACGGACGTTTCCATTCGCCGGAACCTTCGGAGACTCCGACATCAGGCCAACCGAACCCAAGAAAACCAGCCCCAGCTGCGACGTGCGAGGCAATGCAAGGCAGCGAAAAGGGCTGCTCCAATTACAGCCGAGGTCCTCGAATCAAGCATTTCCAAGGCTTGCGTCCACAGGCCGCCCTTTTCCAACGAGCTGATAACTGCATTGCAAGATATGCAATCTTCCTGTCAGGCACGGCACGCACGGACAATCACCGGCCACAACATCCAAGCTCCTCGAGGGAGCTGACTCGCATCGCCACGAGCATGCCAGCAGCTTGTCTCCACTGGCCTGTGCATGCTGAAACAAACATGCGACAAATGTCGAAACTGGTCGCGACATGCGCATCATTGCAACGGCTACACATGGGCACCTGGCTTCTCACAGGCACTGGCAGCTGCATTGCATGCCACCCTGCAGAAGCTCGCAGAGTATCTCATGAAACACACGATGCACTCGGAGGACTGTCTCACATCTCAGGGGCCGGCAAGTTAGCTTCCAGGCTCTGCCGCGAAGAGCTATCTAGCAGAGCCAGAGCATGTTGCCAGTGGTTTGCGGAACCACATGCCGCGATGGCAGAGGCCACGGAGACAACCTAAGAAAATCCAACTTTGCACTTTGGGCGAGCCTCTTGCAGCTGAAGCGGCAATCTGGCAGGGCACCGTCCTCTGAAGGCTGGAGAAGTACATGCTGCCGAGAATTGACAGTGGTTGCTGCCATTTGGCCACCGCCTCCTTTGATGCAAAGATCTCGATAAGCTCATGTGGTTGACTCGCAGTGCTCAAAAAGACTGCACATCAGCACATCCCTTCCTGCAAGGACGCACATGCAACCATGGCATGACGGATACAGTATTCCACGCGGCTATTGGGCAAGTTCTGAGCTGCAGACGCTCGATAAGTTCGTTTTCAACGGATCTCGCTTGAACTTCTAACTGGGGTGGGCACCCGTTGAGTTAAGGTGATAGGCGTCTGCCAACGATACAGGATAGAAAACAGTGGCCTAGAGGCCTGCAAAGGCTGAGATGCACAGCCTTTACCGACATGACCCCAACAAGGTTACTTTGTGGGCTGTAGAAGCACTCTGAAGTGGACAACTGAACTACTGAGCTTCACTGAGCCTTTCAACGCAACTCCTGCACACCTGGGGCTGCGAGTTGCTTCTGTTCCCAAACATCTGGGCAAGCCCATTCCAGGAACACCCTGAAAGCAGGAAATGTATCACAGTGGACAACAGGACAGCTGCAATGTCCCACCACGTAGTCGCAAGGGATGGTATCCGTTCGCGGATGTGGGGACGGGAACGTATTGACACAGCCAATGCCAAATCAAAGGAGGGCCGCAAGACTAACTTCCCGACATTGCAGACTAAGCAATGACCACCCAACAGGCCAGCAATTAAACATAAGCCAAGCTGCAAATGCAGCCACCAGTATATTGGAGTTCACAGCTGTGGCTTCAAGCTGTAGCTGCAGGAATGACTGAAGCTGTGCGGCTGCGACGCGCCAGCCCCCTCTGTCGAGACAAGACAGCGAGATTAACACAAGCAACGCACGCTGCACATGCAAGACACCTATCAGAGCTCAAGGGGATCAAGTGTTCCTGCGAGCCTGATTCGCAGGCTTTCATAGAAGCACTGGCACTGTAGGCATCAAGCAGCAAGGCCCGCTGCCCCATCAGCTCCAGATCAACCATAGTCTACCGGGGCACAACAAAGCACCAAGACGGAAATGGAGGATGTGACGTGGTCGTTGCGAGCACAGGAGCCTGTGCCCAGAGCGCCTTTCCGCAGAATGACCGCAAGACGGCATTGTGGAGGACGACATCGGCCTCGTGGCCAAGTCTTGCCAGGACTTCGGGCGTTTTGGCGACAGCTTCGCGCTCAAAGCAAGCGCACCTGAAGACTCCATAGGCGCACGCCATCGAGGAGGCACGCAGACCACTCCCAATAGCCTGAGGGCATTACCAGATCGCAGAGGGAAACGCTGCGAACACAGCATCTGAATTTGCGAGTCTGGCCGCTCTTCCTGGCGCACGAGTTGATGAGAGCTGTCACGATAATGGCATTTAACGTGACAGAAGCCACTTCGCACACCAGACATGTTGCCAGATGCCATCGGCCGTGCTCTTGAATCTCCTGGGACAATCCGAAATCTTCCGTTCAATGCCCGTGAGCAGCCCGTGAGTTTGGTACCCTGCACCTTGGAAAGCAAGACCTGTCTCCACCTTGAAGCACGACATGCCATGCCATGTCGAGATCTGTCGACATGCACTTCAACCTAAAAGCTGTGCAAGATTGAGACAGGACGGCCCGGAAAGTGAAGACTTACGAGCAGTGTCTGCAATCTGAGCCGGTTGCTGCCTGTCGGCTTGGGCCAACAAGTTGGTCCAAGCACCAGCTCCACCATGCAAGGGCAAACAAACGACACGCAAGCCGTGGCTAGCAATGGCAGCAACCAGACCCACAACCCCAAAACATCCCAAGTCCTCGTTGCGAAGCCGGTGAAAACAGAACGCAAGCGCTCAACCACCCCCGAACCCCCGAACCCCCGAACCCACCCCACGCGGCCCCCAAACTGTAGTGGCTGGACCAGTTCGCAGGACAGTTCCGATGCCGTGTCAACAGGCTTCCGAGTATCATGGTCTTCCATGACTAGTCGACGAATCCGCTTCACCCATCGCCACCCCGTGGAAAGCAAGAGCACAAACAAAGAAATCTGCAAACCACGCTTAGCCTGTGAAGCAGGCAGTGCGGGGGCAACGCTTCGTTTTGCATTTGCAGCCGCCGGTTGTGCTTGCTCGTCTGCACAAGGCAGGGCCACATCCTGCCATCATGCCTTGGGCACGCAGCATCCATGCAGTCTGGCATTCGATGCAGGACGAAGCTGCAAACGCTGATGGTTGTCCACTACTGCACTCGCAAGCTGTGACAACGTTGCTGGTGGTCGAAGAAGGCGTCCTACGTCAAAGCGCAAACTGTGAGCCAGGCCACCAAGTGTCTAGCTAGCTGGCACTTGATTGAGTACGTATATCCTGCCAGATATGGCAGCAACTAAACGAAAGGCCAACAGCCAATGACAGCCACTTTGAACCGGTAGCGGCTGACCCAATCGCCGCAGCTGAGCAAATTACATTCGCTTCTTTAGCTGTTCCATGTGCCTCCCCTGTTGCTCACACCATGTGCACAAGCCCAAGATGTGCTTCAATGCAGATCGAGTCAATCCCCAGCCGAAGATCGAACACGAACCAGACTGTCGAAGCGGTCGAGGGTCCAGGCGATCCACCTGGAGGTCAACGAAAACCTGAAGGCCCACCCCGACTTCGGCACGCGATCGCAGGCACCAAGTGTAGTACCTCAGCTTCTGCGATGGGCGCGGAAAACCTGTATGCCTCTCTCAGAGAACACGCATGACTGCTGGCCAAGTTCTGTACATGAGCACGTCAGCTCGAAGCAAGAGCGGGTTGAGTTCTCTAAAGATTTGGCGAGCCGACTTCCAAGCACTTCCCGTGTCACAGTCACAAGCATTGCTCACAGTGCTTGCAAGCCTTTCTCGCATGCATCGAGAACCGCATTGTAAACCTGTGGACTTGCCCAGGAGGCCCCGAAATTCCAGCCAGACTGCCTCCACCTGCGACTTCATGCCTTCACCGTATTGCGGATTCGCCCGTTGTCTTCGGCACAGCGCAAGGATGCCGTCTCGAAGAGTCGAACTCAAACGGCGAGAAGTCGCAGTGGCCCATCAAGCTACTACCGAAGCTTGGGCCATAATGAAAACATCATTCAATTGCCACATGGTGCTGCGAAACCTCGAGGACCAACCCCAACCAAGCAATTTTGACTTCGCTTTTGGGGAATCGCTGTTGAATGCTGGCCACGAGAAATTCGAGGCTCGGCCAAACCCAGTCTACCGGAAATGGAACAACCAGAACCCGTCTTCCTCCGCTCAAAGGCAAGCTTGGGACCAAGCGGAAGACTTGCCTGGCGGCATCCTTGGAGGGATTGCAGGTGCCTGCCAGGCAAGGCGAACGCTGCCTGTGCCTCTGAACTTGAAGCCTTAGCCTGAGCTCAGCCCGGGGCTTCCACAAGGCTTTGTGTTCGGTAAACAGCACTGCATGCCTGCAAAGCTGCATGCTTGTAGAGGTAGTACAGGTAGAAGAAGACTTCCAAGCCCAACAGGAAGGAAAATGACTCCTGACACGTGGACCAGGGCATTTCAAGCTGGCCCGTTCAGGCATACTTGGCGACGTGCAGAACCACCACGGCGTCTAAGTGTTTGAAAGTCTTGGACGAGTCTGCAAGCCGCAGCTTGCCCTCAAGAGCCTGCCTGCAGCCCCCAGATCAAGGCTGCGCGGAGTATTGCAAGGGCACCCTGTGGCTGCGCCTGGTTTGCAACGCTTGGGATTTCCGTCGCATCTTTCCCAGGATGCGAGGCCGAAAAACATGTAGAATGTGGACAAAAGCCCAACACCCCTCAAACTTCCGGCGTCGGCAAAAGGCCAGCAGCACGCGCTGCACGGAGCGCCCGGACAAACTGCGCAGCAGTCGCCAGGCCTGCCATGAGGCTCTCTCTCCCTGTCTCTTCTTCTTCTCCTCCCAGGCTTAACGGTTTCTTCAACTCTCGCTCTTTCTTTCTCTCCTTCTTCCACACAGCGAAAAGTAGCAGTCCCCACCCCTGCGCACGCAAGGGCACCCTGGGTAAGGGGATCATGTAGTGCTGACAAACTTTATAAGACAGAAGGTATCCGGCCGTTGCCCCACCGCTCCAGGGAGCAACAAAGGATCAACAAAATCCTGAGCTCACACATTGCAAAGGGCATGAAGGCCCGAAAGTGGGCAGGTGGTCTTGGCTCTACGGCCCGTCAACATTTGGGGACCAGTAGTGTGGATATTTCCCCCACTCCCCGCGCCAAAGCTTGGAGTACTGCAAGCTTCGGGAGTGTGTTAGACTCCCGGCGAGCTGATTTATCAAGACTGACCGGAAGTTACCATTTGCATCGGCCATCAACACTATTGACGTTTCAACTTTGTAAGGCTCCGATTTGGCTTTTCGCAGAACCGCACGGCATCGCAACTTCGTAGGTGTGGTGCTTGACTAACACAATGCATCGTGCTGGCCCTTCCTAGCCACTGCTTTCGGCAGGTACTCAGTTCGGCCCACAGAAGCAATAGTGCACCTTGACTGTGGCACCGCTTGCCTCACTCAATCGACCCCTGGATGGACGATGCTTACCTCTTTGCATTGAACAACGCGAGACCTTGCGTGCTGTCAACTACATCAAAGCGACACCTGAAAAGCGCACATTTGGTCTCATTTCTGGCTTGTTGGCTGGGGGTGCTAGCGCACGTGCCTACCCCCCTGTGGCCAGTCCATGCCCCCATGTTGGGGGCAGTCAGCTTGCAATCCGCTGGCATGTGCTCGGAGATTCCCGAAACAGGTCTCATCGCCCAACATCCCTTGCAGGCCCTCGACGACATCATGCCAGTCCAAGAACGTATAACCCTCACAGCAGCTGTTTACCCAGTGGGCGACCACCACACTCTGGAGTTTGCCCCAGCCCCCTCAATCCCCCAAGTGTCAAGGCCCTCTCTCTTTCTGCAAGTTCTCACTCGGCCGTATCTGGTCGCCAAAGAAGCGCCGGGCTGGCCCAGTACATGTAGGAAAGCGGTGCAACCGCCTTCGTGTGACGCGCTGCGGTGCTGGATGGCAGATACTAGCAGTGATGGGGATCGTGTTCCAAACGGCTCTTGCAGCTCTGTGCCGTAGAATCCTACCACTGGCTTAAGATGGCACTGCAACATGGTACAAATGGCACTGACTTTACCCGGAGTTTTTGCTTGCAGATCGTGGCTCGTGACTCCATCCCGACATCGCCTGGCAGAACGGACTTGAAATTCCTCTGCGAATCCTCCACACCGAATTGAAAACTGCCCCAAGGCGCAAGCAACATGAGCTCTGCCCCAGTAGGCAACCAGCGCTCTCACAGTTGCCTGGATGCCTGCGAAAATAAACAACTCAGACATGCCTTCAAAGGCCAAATGAGGAAGACTTTGACCAGGCTCATCTGCACCTGAACGAATCTAAAATCTCAGGGGAAACATGCAAGGAAGTGCACATATAAAGCTTCGCAAGGACCAGACGCTGCAGAGGGCAGTCCCTTCGCTTGCCCAGATGGTGTTGATGACATGGCCTGCATTCAAGAATCCAATCGTCCACTAGCACAACCATCATGCCGGCGTGGATCTCCGACAATGGAAGAGAATCATGACGACCATGACTCCGACGACCACGATGGACCGTTGTAGTCGGCACGAGATCATAGGCATGCCGGAGCAACATTTCGTGCACTGCCTGTCGTCCGTAGGCATCGCTGGCACACGATTCGATGTCCAACGCGTTCACCGAACAGTCGAATTTTGTACGCGTGGCAACGCGCCGCATTAGATTCTAGACATGCCTCTGCTAGACGACGATGGGTGACATTTTCCTGACCCATTGGAGCACATGTCCGCTTGCACAGGAGAAACCCAGCTGCCTGTTTGGATCGATCGGAGCAGCGAGTACAAGCGAGACTTCCTTGGCGAAATTTACAACAAGTTTACATGTCGCGAATTTCCGGATTATCGCAGATGTGCAGAAGCCTTTTTGTTGAAGCAGGGTTCTAGGACAGGAAGGCCTAGAAGCAATGCACGACCATCGCTAAGCCCGCGTCCCTTTGGCAGGCTCTGTCTGGCCATCAGGACTTTGCTGTCTGCGCATGTTGCCCAAACTTCAACCTAGCCACTTGATTACATGTACATGCAAAACCCTGGTAAACTCAGCTGCTCATGTCGGATAACTTGTTCTGCCAGTCTTGCATCCCATGTGTTTCCTGTTTGAACCATGGCATGATGCCTGGGGGCTCAAAGCTTGGAGCTGGGGCAGTGGGGCTTGATGGTGGACGGCACCTGTACATAACGAACTTGATCGAATTGTAACATCTTGCGACCTTCCAGATCAAGATGGTCCAGACCCCAAATTACCATGTGGTGAGGGCCCTCATGCACCTGCTGACGGCACTGACTACCAATGCTGCCGCCGCGGTTCCCAAATCCTTGCCAACCCAAAGCCCACATACGTGGACATAGACACCTGGATCACCCAGATCAACAAATTTGCAGTGCTGAACGCCGCACAGTTGGCATCCGTTTTGCTAGGAGGAGCTGAGGAGCGGCCTCAGAGTGCAAATCGAAAGCTAACAGGAGGCTCCCTTGCGACGCTGCGCGGGATGATGCTCGACGCCAGACTCCCAACGGCCTGATCGTAGAGCACTCCGAGCGAAAGCTGCACAAAGTCCAACATCCTTCGTGTTGGTGAAGAGGCCGTTGCGTACACTTGCATGCTTTTGCACGTGCTGGCTAAAGACTACAAATCTGACCCATTCCCATCATCCCCCATATGCTATGCAAACGTGATGGCAATGCGGCCATCCAGCTACATGCAAAGCGCTGGCAAAGACTCGGCTTTTTGCGTCCCACCGCACAGGTCGACAACGCACAACGAGCCGCGATGACACTATGCCACGCAGCCACAAGACACTGGTGACACTGTACAGGTGCATTGGGAAGGGCAACGTTCTGCCGACACCGGGCCGAGTTTCGGCTTTCAACCTGCCAGAGAAGAAACTCCTTTACCCTTCGGAGCACGCACAGCAGCAAGCTAAGACCGAGACCACCACTGGAGGTTGACGGACTGCATGAAGGTCAAGCCTGACAACGTCCACTGCAGCAAACTGCCTCATAGAAATCGCTGCCATGCCTCCGGGAGGTACTCAGGAGAGGGTCGGCTCTGGTGCGAGCTTGAGCGGAGCCTCCGAGCACAGACTGGCTTTACCACTTTGGGTTCGAGACCTCCCGGGTGTAAAGTGACGGCCTTCGCTTCTTTTTCCGGCGCTTCGGGACAGTGCTGGACGAGCTCGAGGAGGATGTAGAAGAGATCTCCTCCCTGACATACAGAGCCGTTCGAAGAGTGTCATCCAACGTTCACTGTGATCCCAGCCGATCGAAGCGGTTGTAGGACGGCGATCTTCGAGCTTCTTTGAAGGGTCGGTTGAATTCCTTCGGCATTCTGCGGGACTGATCCAGAACGCCACTTGTGACTCGCATGTGCTCCTCCGGATACATCCACTTTGCCGGACTTAAGCTCGCAGAGCCCCTAACCGCTGGCCCAGCTCACCACACAAACCAAGAGTTTGTCTCAGGCCAGTGACGCACTTGCCTCCGCTCCACTTCTCCAGCTTCCGGAGGAAGATAAACCTCAACAGCACTCATCACGGCCCAAAAAAACCATGAGTCGACAAATGTTGGACCGGTAACTCCTCCTGCACGGCTTCTCCAAGCACCCTTGCGGGTGGGCCACATCGTCCCATTGGTGCCTTCGTGTCAGCGACGCCTTCGTCAGTTCGCTTCCTCCTCCTCCCGAGACTCTGAGACTCCGACGCAGACGGCAGGGAGAAGGAGAGCGGCGAAGATAGCCTAAATGGTCCCACCTGGCACCAAAGTCAGGTCCCAAAGTACGAAGCTTGGCATCCTCCAGCTGCCGACTAGCTGGCACGGATCGTGGGATTTGAGTCGCACACTCAGGCTCGTCAGCGGCAACCTGTGACATCTGATGTTCTTCGTCCAGGCGAAGTTTCCGGAGCATCTGGCATCAGCTTCTCCCGCACAACGGAAATCCCAGAGGCAAAGGAAGTCTGCTGTGCGGTCCTCGTAGGCTCGCATGTCGTAAGCGGCATTGAGTGGATTCAATGGGTCGTGCGGAGCTGAGATTGGCTTGGTAACTCCTTAACTGGCAACACATGCTTGCATGAAACCATTCGCAGTCGTGATCACAAAACCGCCTGCTTCTGATTTCTCGAGCTCGTCAAGCTGTGCCTGGCAGTGGCATAGCTGCTGCCAAGGTTTGCTAGGAATTTGCAGAGGCTGTGGCCACCAACTCCTCCAAGCTTCGGAAAGGCGCCTGGCCTTGGAAAATACGACAGGTGCCACTTGCCTTGAATGGCTCGGCTGGCATGTTGCCGCGAGTCCAGGCCTTCCGCCTCATCTGGCGTGTTCAGAGCCTCAGCCTGATGACTTCACATTGTCATAGCGTCCACGACTGCAGCATTTGCGGCGGAAGAACAACTACGGCCGGAAGGGCCTTGGCGGGTCGTTCTTGCTGCACCACTTGGATCAAGTTGTCGATTGCATCCTGCAGGCCTCCGTTCAAGTTGGACATGGATGTGCCATCTCTAGGCATCCTTCTGTACTACCTGGCCTGGGTCGTCTTGGAAGGCGGCCTCAAGCTCCTCCATTGAGATGAAGCCACGCCCTAAATGGCTCTGGCCCTAGAAAGCAGGCACATGCAAGGCCCGGCCTCTTGTTCTTGCCGGAACCGCTCACGTTCCTGCAAGCGCATCAACATTTGCTTCGACAGGGCACGCAAGGTCGCCTGCTGTTTGAACAACTGCCGAAGCGGAGGTAAGGAGCGAGGAGGGAAACCGCAACGAAAGAGGTCTGAGCACAGCGTAGACATGACTCCACACGCTGGGCCGTTCGCGTCTGTTTGCGCTTCCACAATGTCAAAATCACAGATGATTTAAGTAAGGCCGGGACTTCCGTATAACCACCGGACTGCCGCTAGCTTTAAACACGTGTTTCGTCTTGTTGTGGGCTCTGTTGTAGTCCTCAAAACCACCCCCGTGAAGCTAGGAGGCCATTCTCCCGAAATCCCATAGCCCCGGTCATGCAATGCTTTGACACTTCCTGAACGGGACACCGACGGACGGCGACAGCCCCATGAGCCTCAGTGAAATCACGATTTGAACTGACCGCTTGGCTGCTGAGTCGCAGCTCCGTATGCCTTAAATTGTTTTTCGCGGGCCTGTTTGAACAGCAACGCTCATATGCTGTAGTTGCTTCCGGGCTGTTGCTGTGATCGCCAGCGCATTCCCCTGACCGCTGCGAGCTTTGTACTGACTGACATACCTGAAGGTTGTTAGCCCACTGGATTCAACCGTCCTCGCGCTTGAGCCTGCGTTGCTCTCGTCGCATTTCTTTGGCGATCTTCCTGCGAAGGAGGCGCAAGTGGGCCGCAAGAAGTTATGATCTGATTATGGAAGGGTCTCCTCCGCTTCTTCATCTCGAGAGACTTGGCCTGGCTCGTGCAAGGATTTGAAGGTTGGGGCGGGCCTGTCCTGGCGCACCTCCAGAAGCCCAACCTCGCTGGTGACCACCTCACCTGACAACGAGATATTGCAGAGCATCCTACTCGCTGCACATGCCATACATGAAAGCCATTCAGTTCCTTTTTCATGGAGCGCGACGACAAGCCATCAAGCCCCAGTCGCCCAGTTATGAGGCTCGCTTCAACAGTACAGCATACGATGGAAAGTCCCAGGCGAAGCGATGTTGGTCTGTGATCACGGATGGATCTTCAGAGAATAAAGTGGCCTCCTCCAGCACCTCGAGTTCCACAGAAGACCCCAGCTCTGACCAAAAGCAATCGTACCACTCCCAAGGGCCCACTCTGTTAGCTCGATTCCAGCCGAGGAAAGCTTTGCCGCCAAGCCTGAGCTTCTGTAGAAGTTGGTGGGCCACCTCACACTGCTCCTCAAAGTTGAGGTGCAGCAAGGCTGCATAAGAGAAGACGTAATCGAAGAGCCCATCTGGTATCCACTGAAGCTTCCGACCGTCTGCCAAGCAGCTCAAGCCAAGGCTATACCTCGCGGCCCAAGCAGCCGCTGGCGTAACTTCAATGCCCAGCGCATCAACATCATAGAAGGCTTTGGCCCAAGACATGGTAAAGCCACAACCAGAGCCCCAATCCAGCAGCAGCTCACCGGGCTGGAAAGCGAAGCGTTCTGCAACCACCACAAGGACGCACTTCAAGGCATCCTGGAGGTCGGCACCCCAGACGCCGGTCTGAGACTGACAGCCTCCATCCGAGGATCGAGTTCTGTACTTGCTCATGTCATCATCGTCTCGTCCCACACTGTCGTCTGCCCATCCCCACCAGACGGATTCGTTCCCCTCATCCACCAGTGCGGGGCACTGCAGCGAAAAAAACCTCTCTCTGCGCGAGATCAAATCTGAATTTCTGACTTGGGAAGGCGGCAGAAATGGACGACGCAAATCGAAACCAGAAGAGTCAGGAGACACACAGGTCTCATTAATGTGATTGAGGCATTTCCCTCCAGCCAATTTACGATCAGCTCTTTGGACTTCCTCGCGTTTCCGCGACCACTCGGCAGCAGCAAAGCTGCCCAGTCGAAGCTGGTTCGCATGAACAGGTGATAAGACTCGCCGAAACAAGTCGCCACCTCGATCTCTGCGATTGCGGCAAGCTGTCAGCAATTGCATGTCAGTTCTCCTCACAGCGCAGCTGGATGCCGACAGGTCCGCCCTGGGCATAAATCTGCGGGAGATGTACATGCCGCCATCGGGTAGGCTACAAAGGCTTTCTGGCCCAGCGGGATCCAGCTGCGAGTACAGAAGCTGCTGTGATGCCAGCAGGGGGAATGGGAAAAGTGGTCGCCAGAAGCGAATCCGTTGTCGTGCAAGAGGAGATAACGCATCCCTCTCTCTTTCTGTCTGCCAGCTAAGCAAGCAATCAGGAAGAAGATGTTCTTCCTGAATCACACCCGCAACAAAGAACTGATTGTGTACGGTGGAAACAGCTTGAAGACCTGGCCAACATGTCAACTTTTTGCAACTCTGAAGGTGCCGCCAAGCCCTTTTCACAAAGCCAAGAAGTTCTTGCGCGGGCGCGCAGGTCGCAGCGAGCTCGCAGTGGCGGCAAGTCAAACGCAGGAACTCTGCCCAGGAAGTCTCACCTGCACCCTGTGGGCCGCGGCCTGGCGACTCTGCACAGTCACTGTCCAACGCATCAACATTACAGATGTCAGACATTTGCCAAAGCTTGAGCAAAAACGCCGCCAGAGGTCGTAACGTTGAGACCAGAAGAACAGGCCAGGAACAAGAAGTACAGGTTTCTTTGAAAACCAACGCACCTCTTGAGAGACCCCACAACCGGGGCCTGTTGCCGGGATCTGCGCAAGGGCACCATCCCCTGTCTCAATGCCATCTCCCTGTTCCTGCCCCCAAAGCATGCCATGCACACTTCCAGCAGCACTGCGCTTGCGCTCCTTGCGACTACTGTGACTAGTGGTCCTTCTTCTCCTTCTTCTCCTTTTTCTTCTTCTTCTCATGACTCTTCTTCTCCTTTTTATCTTTCTTTGTCTTCTCCTGGAAGCACGCTGAGACTGAATGCAGCATTCCGGCTTCGGCTGTGAGCTTGATAGTGTCCTTGCCAAGCTTTTTCCCTGGCAAATCCGGCAACAACGGCTCTGGATTCTCCTTGCTCCGACACCGCACACGATCCGGAGACAAGCAGTGAGTATCGGGCATGTCCTGAACCACGCCGACAGCGCCGCCCCTCAGCGAATTGGAACGCACGAGGCCCCGGAGGTCTGCACCTCCCAGATCTGGACTGCCCAGGTTTCGTGTGAAAAATGGCACAGCCTTTGGTGTTCAGACTTCGCTTCTCGCCGTTGGTCCTCCTGCCAGACATTTGGGAAATGAACAGAGTTGAGCAAAAGAATCCTTTAAACGTTGCGATGGCCTTCCAATCTGCAGTTGTACCTCAGGCAGCCTTCGTGCCCAGCTTGCAGCTTCCAGCTCTGCCTTCGCAAGAAAAAGTACAACGTCAGGTTCAACCGCTGCCGGGCCGTCAGTGCTCTGCCTCTGTGAAGCCAGCTCCTGCATAACTAGAAACCCACAGTGTTCAAAACTTCATGCGGAGCAGAACTTGTCCTGCACCTGTCTTGGCTGCCCGTCGCGCTTCCTGGGTCACGTACTCTACAAGTACCACCCGCCTTTGCGGCGTGAGAAACAAAACCCAAATGCTGCCCGACTGCATTGCGGGCAGCCGCAATCTCTTCATGGCTCTTGATAAACCTCGGAGGAATCACCAAGAAGGCAAAACCGAGAGGCCGGCAAGAACCCTTTCAAGTCTCATGAAGCTTGTCGGAAAATATGCCTGGACATAGCTTCGTCGGCCCATGACCTGCCAACCACGACTGGAACGATTGACACTCCCTGCAGGCTCTGCAGTCGTGCCTTGCATGTATGCTTGACACCCTACATCCGTGAGATGGCCCGCTAAGTCCAAGTGCCCCTCATGACGTCTTATATGTGTGTTACAGGTATCTGAAAACTGCCGCTGTGCGGATTCCATGTCAATTAGCACAGTTGGAGATTTAGTAATAAGCTTGTCGACGTGACACGGCGGCACAAGCATTCGTGTTAAGGTGTGGGCTGCATTCCTTATGCATCTACGGACATGTCACTGTGGCACTGGCACCTCGCAATCTGGCTGAAATATTTCTTTGCTGCACTTTGCATCGCCCAACAGCCAGGTAAAGTGGTAATAAAACTATGTCTCTTGGCCCTCTGCAGCTCCGACATGCTGCGTGGCTCTTGGTCCTTCGTTTGCAGACGGGCTGGCCAGCCCCGTGGATCTTGCGAAACGTCTTGTCTCGCGCCGTCACTCTTTCCGACTACGCGGGCAAGTCTTCTTCAAGTGGGACGGCGCCTGCACTGGAATCGTCCGGAGGCTGGCTGCCGTTTGCTTCGCCGTCTTCATTCTGATCTGAAGAATCCCGGATTGGCTCAGCTTTCGAGCATGTGTCCGCTGTGGTCCGGCTGACAACCCCTTCCTTCATGGCAGGCCCAGCAAGAGTCTCATCGCCAGCACCTTCAGAAACACCAGCCACTTCGATCACAGCGTCCTGCATCTCTCCCATCTGCACTTGTGACGTCGTATCGCAGGTCTCGGGGATGCCTCCAGCCTGTGCGTCCTTCAAGGCACGACGACACACGCTAGGTCGCTAGGTTCGCACTTACCCTATGAAGCTGTTGGGGGATTCAGTGCCTGTGCCTTACTGCATCGCCCATGTGAATCCACCACAGCGGTCCTGCATCACATGACCACTTCTTTCCTCAAGCCTCTCGACCAAGTCGTCCAACTGTGCTTGGGGTTCGCTTTTGTCATCCGGCAAGAACTTTGAAGGTGCTGGGGCAGACATGCCGTCGACATTTCCTTGCTCTGCTCCTGCTTCAGTCTGGAGCTCAAGCGACAGCTCTGCGGGAAGGCCTTCTGAAGCCTGTGCCTGCGGTACCGATGCTTCCGGCTCTGCTACCACTGCCGGTGCTGCTTGCATCTCCGCTGTCGGTGGCTGAGTTGCTTGCTCCGTTTGCTCGGAAGGCAACCCCATCGGGACAGGCAGTTCAGGATCTCGATCTTGAGGTGGGTTGCCCTCGGACTGGTACAGGGGAACCTGCACAGAAACTGGCTTCTTCACTCTGAGTCTGACTCTCAACTTCACCCTGAGCCGCTTCGCCTGGAGACCCAGCAAACTTCCAGCCAAGCTCTCCGCAGCGGCAGGGAGACCCAGCTCTGAAAGGAACTCTTGGTCTGGAGGAACGATGTACACCTCAAAAACACTCGAAGAGCCTTCGGTGCTACGGCTGCTACGGCATGGACTGTATCTCAAGCTAGTTAGCAGCTAGGGCTTGACGCAGCAACCAGACCAGAGTGACTAGAGGTACCAAACCGAGCGGTAGCGCAAAGGGACTCCGCCGGACAACTGACCAAGCACAGTCCGGTCTCCCGAGCCCGTGCTGCTAGGGCTTGGCTCATGGGAAAGCCGGTGGCTAGCGCTTTACGACACGGAAGTGTTCCCCTGAATGGTAACGGGCAACGGGTCCGTATGTAACGAGAACACTAACCACCCTGGCCATATGTGCGAGAGGGATCCACTCGGTGGCCCACCACGCTCCGAGGCAGCTCCGACAGCCCCACGCGCTTCCGGGAGACGAAGTAGTTACGAAGAGCAGCCCAGGCATCCTGTCGAAGGCTAAGCGGCCAAGCACACAGGCAATGCCCATTCGTGCACCGGGTCAGCGGGGCCTTCTCGCGAGCCTCTGACAAGGAGAAATGCCAGACCTCGCAGCTCCCAATTTCCATGGCCGCTCGTTTTGCTCGGCACAGTGAAATTCAACTGTAGACTATCGAGGTGCTGTGGTGAGGTCATCTGCCCACTGCAGGTGCCTGCGACCTCGTGTCTTGCAGTTGCTTGGTGCTTCTGGTCCGGGTTGACCACACCCTGAGGCACCCCACAGTGTTCGAGGCGCACCCGCTGATCGATGTCCAGCCTTTGGGCCAGAAGCAGGTGTATCTACAGGGCCTAGCTCACAAGAAACTGTCAGAAAAGAAACACGAAACAATCCGTCCCGTGCAGTATGATTCAGTTGTCCCCTCAACCCTTCAACAAATTCACAACCCCGACCATATGCTGGTGGGCTAGAGCAACCGTCGAACCACCTGAAGCTTGGCCTGAAGAACTAAGCATCGTGCCGGTGATTTTCCGGAAGTGAGTTTTCGTTGCCACCCACGAAATGCGCGAAGACGTCGCAACACTTGGCTCCAAGCCTCAGAGGATGGTTGTCCGCAAAGCTTCCGCATCGACCCTGCTTTTGAGGTTCCCTGCTCTGCGTGACATGCTTTGGAAGAGGAGAGAGACAAGATCAACTTCCAGTTCACTCTATCAGGACATGTTGTATATTGTGCTTTCTACAGCAGGGCTTGAGGGGAGAGCCCGAGTCAGCAAAAAAAATCAAAAACAGCAGGGGCATAGTCAGCAAACAGCACGCACAGAAATCGCAAACAACCCCGCCACAATCACCAAACACCGCAGAGAAATCAAAAGCAACCCCGCGACAATCAGCAAACACCAAAGCCGGGGTCAGCAAAACCCACAGAAACCCAAATTCAAATGTCGTGCAAGCTTGCCCTACATTTCACTCTCTCTTTTTTCTTCGAGAGAGCACCAGGTCCATGCAGTCATCGCACACATAAGCCGTGACATCGAGATGATCTTCTGGCAAACACTGGTTCCTCAGCACGCATCTGAAGCAGTACCAATTTTTCTTCTAACTTTCTTCCACCTTGCTGCGCGAAGACACTAAGTAGGATCGCAGTGACACTTGAACTCCGGGCTTGTTCTGGAGCATTGACGGCATGTCTGGGCCATGACCTATAGTTAATCTTGAAACGAGGTAAAGTAAAGCGCTAATCTTGAAACTAGATGACAGGTTGAGAGCACGTGTGGCATCTAAGCTTCGACGATTATGCCTGAACTGAAGCCATTGGGGTTGGTATTCTGTGGTGTGGACCCAGCGGGTGGTTGCTCGCTGCATGTCTATTATTTGGCTGAAGCTGGCAGATCTCTGTGTGTCTGAGCGGAACCAAGCGAAACCTTGTGTATGGGCATGGACAAAACTCAAGTTTTGCGAGCTCTTAAGCGATTTGAAGCAATTGCTTCTGGTGTCGCGGCAATTGTGAAGCTGCTTTCATATACCGGTCCCATTGACGTTCAGAACTTTAGGTTAATCGAACATTGTAAACGTAATTCCAATCGGGTGGTTCCCTGAGAGGCTGGGCAAGCGAATCGACGAAGCAATTGGGTCCCGGTTCTTGGGGACTGCCAGTGCTGCAAACCGAGGCAGGACTGATGACATGTTAACAGAAATGCAGGCAGTAGAGCTCGGAATACCTGTCATGATAAATCGTAGCAGAATTTATCTTGGCAACCGCGGCGTCCGCAGTCCGCAGCAGCACAACAACTCGATCAACCCCTGAATGCGCGGGTTACCAGTTCGCTTAATGAAGCCATCTATGGTTTGTCGCAACTGCGCAGCTTCTTTCCGAGTGCAATGGGGTTTGTCGATTTTGGGGTTCGAGCAAGTGGACACAATGTAGGTTCAGGGTTAGGTTGGTATGACATGTCAGCGTGTAGGCACTGACTTAGCAGCTGCAAGTCAACGCAAGTGCAACTGGGACTCAGGATGGACGAATGCGAGTGCGACTGAATGTGAAAATGCGAGTGAAATTGAACGTGAGAACGACAGTAAGAGCCAGAATGAGAGTGAAAGTGAAAGTGAGCATGGGAATGAGGCTGCACGTGGGAGTGAGAATGTGAGTGAGGGTGAAAGTGAGAGTGAGGGTGACCCTGAGACTGAGAGTTAAAGTGAGACTGCGACGCGACTGGAAGTGAGAATGACAGTGACAATTGAAGTGAGAATGAAATTGCGATTGCGACAAGTCAAATGAAACTGAGAGTGAGCGTGAGAATGCCTGTTGTTTCAAATTTAAGGCTCTGTTGTTTCTGAATCTCGGCCTTGGTGCTTGCTGGCTTGCTTGCGATTCCTGTCGTCCTTTTTTGCGACTCCGGGCTCCTGGTTTGCTGACTCGATTTGCCGATTCGAGCCTCGTTTTGCTGAATGACGCTGCTCTCCTTGAAGTTGTTGCCAGGTGTGCCCATACCAGCTTCGCCTTGTTGGACTTAGGCGTGACTCGTGTCAATTGCAAGGGTGCGTGAATATCAAGCCAGCCACAACAAAAGTGGATATAACACCTCTTGGAGATGCTGTGACTGCTCAAGCATTGGCGACGACCAAAAGATACTAAAGGCATCTGATGCGGGCCTCACCATCATTGCAAGAAATCTGTCGGCCTGTCCTGGGATCAACTTTTCAACGAGCGAATAAACCCCAATGCCCGGGGATGGTACCAGCCTTGTTTTCCTTCTCGTCCCACATGGCAAAAACAAGCAACTTTCACATCTGCTGCGAAGGCACTTGCCGTATAGCCGGCACCGGCCTGAACCTTAAAGCCTTAATCCCGAAATACCAGTACACCCCGTGCACAAACCCTACATAAGTGACAAAACCCGTAAGAGACTCGAGAAGACCATGTTGGAGGTCCCCGACACACATTCCGCGTACCAAATTGCTGGTTGTACTCGGAAAACGAATCTGGAAGACCAAAAACGACCTGGCCACGGCCAAGTTGCTTTCCCTAAAGTATTGGACAATGCTGGAGCAATAACAACAGCATTCATGAGCAGGGCCAGCATGCTTTCCCGCAAGAACTGGCGGATTTAAGAGCAAGCCCAGATTGCTTATATGCCGGCAGATTACCGGGCAGATTCAGGAGCACACCGGCGGTGCCATGCACCGAGAAGGTTGCAAATTCGAGAAGCATGAGCGCTGCTTGCATTTGTATTTAGCGGGATCTCACCAACCTGAAAGGAGGACACGAGGAGTCCACACAGGAATTTGCAAACATTGCTTGCACTGGCTTGTACTGGCCACGGCTCGAAGCGCTTCACAGCCTACGCACACGCTGTCCTCTGCTTGCTCGTCCGCACCTCCACCCTGGATCAGGGGACAAATTCTGAAGGACGAGCACCACATGCACAGCCCATTTGTTGGAATCTATGACGGATCCCACTTTGATGTCGCCGACCGCAACAAGCAGACACGCCGTGTCCACGCAGAGGGTTGTCGTTGTTGGAGCATTTCCAAAGCATTTCCGGAGGAGTGCCTGCATTCTTGGCAGCACCACACGTACCGCGCCGTTAGTGCCCCGATCGCGGATCCGACCCACATCGACAACGTTGTCCTTTCCAGATAAGCATTCGGCCCAACTGTGCTGCGGCAGTGCGAAGACTTGGCTTCACACGAGTGCAAATTGCGTTACTTGGCGGAATTTACATGTCGCCAACCGACAAACCGAAAATCGTTGCGGCACCACACGCACAGAGGTCTCACGTGAAAGTTGCAGATTCGAGAAAGACCTGCCCTGCACGTAACTTCGACTTGGACTGCCAGGAATCGAATGTAAAGGTTATCAATGCGGTACATTCCAGAAACGCAGCGAAGCACAGCAGTTGTTTACAATACAATGCATCGCACCCTCAAAGATGACAACGTGGGCGGTGTGTAAATATGAACACGATGTGCCCTGTGTGCAAGGGTTCCTCGAGCACAGGGTTGAAAAGCAGTTAAATTAGCGTGAGACAATATCAAGAAGCAGAGAGGCAGAAGGTGCATTGTGAAATCATTCACAAATCTGAGAGGCTGGCTACATTGGTCTTTTGCACCCCGGCCATGATTTTGCACTGCAAAATACGGAATCGCTTGCGGCCGCGGGGCTTGTACAGCTGCAACCGTGGTTCAGAACCCAGATGTACCTTTGCAGTAGCCAATGTCGACAGCATTGGGTGCAGCAAAGCCGCAATCTGCATCCCACCTGAACTCCTGCCGCACTTGATGCTGAAGGAATCGCAGCATCGTCCAACTCCTGCCCCGTAGGCGTGTGCGCTCAATAGATTTCGAGAGTCTGGTAAAGCCTGAAGGAAGAGAATTCGTCTGTTTCTCCACGAACAGACATGTTCGTGCCAGGTGGTGTGTTGCAAGTTGGACGGTACATCATGCGCCCCAACTGCACAATGTCAGGACTATGCGACAGCAACCCAGCCAACCCGTCCTCAACCTCATCATCGTCAGGTTCCTAACCCAAATCTTGCTGAAACAAGCACGGCCAGAAGGCTTCACTTTCCAGGCGGAGCGGAGGTGCCTCCGACTCCTCTCCTTCGGAGTCGGAGTCCGACTCAGATGTCGAGGAATTTGACCTCACTACTGTGCACAAGGGACCACGGCAAGGATCGAGCAGGCTCAGGAGCTCGCTTGGACTCTTCGTCCACCACCTGCTGGGCCTCTTGCCCCACCTTTGGTGGGCCTGAATCTGAACATAAGCCCAAGTAAAAAAAAAAACTCTCCCCTAGGCCCTAGACGCAAGGACCCATTTCCCTCAGGCCGGTGCCAGGAATTCCCTGCAACTTCGCCTTGCGCTTGTGGGCCACAATGCTGTTGGGCGGGGGCATGGGGCTGTCCTGTGATACTGAAGGAGAAAGAAATCGACGGAACTTCTGTCGGCTAATTACGTGAGGTCCTCCGGCAGCGCCATGCCATCTTCCGCTTCTGCCTGCAGCCAATGGCTGTTTCCGAATCCATCAAACGCGGAGGGCACCGCAAAGGCAGAGGCTGAAGCGGCCTCTTTCAGCATCGTCAAATATGGATTCTCCGTGTTTGCGCGAACCAAATAAGGATCAGACTCCTTAGATGACACGGCCCATGCACACGATGTTGCCAGGCACAGCTGAAACTCTGCGCAGGCGGAGGTCCAATCTGGTTCGGGCCCGTTTCCTGGGCCTCTCGTCAAGTTTGCGGCTGCCTCGGTCGAGCCATGCTTGGGCCAACCTCGCCACCTGACCGGCTGACGCCCACGAACAGCTACAAACAGGCGCCAGTACCGAACTCAGGCCTCGAGATGCGCATCCAGCGTGTGAGGACCACCGGGTAGCTCCGCAGACGGGGCAAGACTTGCGGGCATTGCTGGAGCTCTCGGCATCAATGGCACTGCTGGTGTGAGCGGTGCAGTCATCGCTATTGGAGGACGGGCGGGTAGCGGGGTCGGAGGCGCCATTTGCAGACCTGGCATCATCGCCGATGGCCTTGCGCTCCCGCCGTCATTTCCAAACACCGCGAGATCAACACTGGAGACTGTTCGACCCAAGCGACGTCGGGAGCGACACGGGCTCCACGGTGCGAGGAAGCCGCACAGCAAAGGCTGCAGGGATGCCACGCACTTTCGGGCCTGGGCAACAAGATCAGGCTGAGATCTCTAGAGCTGGCAATGTCGGATTCTGTCCCACGAGGGGACGGCGAGGAGGCATTACCGCTGGTGTCGCACTTTTGGGAGTAGTGCCAAGCCCCTGCCCAGAAGGATGGGCGCTCAGGTGGATCAGAGTTGAAACAGGAGATCGCTCGGTCAAAATGAATCCAAGCCTTTGCCCCAGTCCTGTTGCTGCGTTATGTCCTAGCTTGCTGTGTCAGTGATCGTCTTTACATGCCTCATCTCGCCGTACTCGCTTCATTTCCGCATGATGATGAATCAGTTCCCTGAGGCATGATCACTAAGTCCACGCTAGGAACATCAGCAACAGTCTTCCGTTCGTTAAGCAAACTTCCTTGCATCAATGTCGATATGCGAAAACCTGGGTGGACTATACTCATCGTGGTTAGCTGAACTTCTGCGTCATCTTCCGAACATGTACTTGTGTCCCTTCTGCTCCGTTCAGTTTCGCGATGCTTCGCACTCTACTCGGTCTGTCTTTCTTTCCCACTGGTATCTTCATGCTGTTTTTGGTTGAAACCGTCTGGCTTTGTCACTTGGGTGTTAGTAACTGTTAGTAGTCTCTCTCTATTTCCTCCCTTCTGGGTTGTGCCTTTTGCTTCTTTCTCTGAGTCTTGTGGTCATAGCCTGCTGCGCAAGAAAGGGCGCTGCATCAGCTTCCGAAGGCGGCCAAGAGGTTGGCGAGGCCTGGGAGGCACGGTTCCACGGATCATCGCTCGATTTCACGGTCTTCTGCAAAGCAAAAACGAACGCAAACCCATGCTTGAGACTTCGGGCCTGTTTGGGGTTGGGTGATTCGTCCCGCTGCCAGATAGAACTCGTGTCCGCAGCCGCTGCGTTGACGAATCTTATTGGTGCTGGCATTGGCAAGGGCAATTGCAACGGCCCTTCTATCCTGCGCAGCAAGTGCTCATGCTGTGAGACAGCACGGGCTGCTATGCTCACAAAACCCTTGCATACCTTGCTTATCCAGCGAACCGGGTACATACACACGACACGCGTTGATGATGGCGAACGAAGAAAGATAATCCAGTGCAGCACCCAGCAGATCAAAATACGCACGGGACCGTCGTCCGCGCAGGGCCGAGCCCGAGCCTGCGCACTGCGCCAAAGAGCACTTGCCTTCGTGCCTCGCATGAATCCTCTTGTCTCTAGGTATACAGAAACCCCGTGGCGCGAGACTGCTTAGGGAACAATTTAATGTTCTGCACATGCTGGTCTGCTACAGGTTTGCCACACGGACCCTACCGTGCCCAAATTAATAAATGTCAGCCGACAGAGAAGACCACCTTCGATCTCCAGACGAGTAAGAGTCAGTTGAATCCGCAACAGTACTCAGCCACATGGCTCACAGCCCCTTCTTGGCAGGCTTCCCCTGCGCCCAGATTGAACGGGAGACGTACCACATGGTTTCGCATTCATTCGCACTTGGGCGGCAACTTGCGCATCACTGCTCGTCGCATGTGCCCGAGCTGCGAATGAAACACACGAAAGAAACACAAACACCACAAGAAGGCCTCGGCTTTTGCGCTTTCTTAGGGCGAGTTGCGCCCAAACCAAGCGGTCCTCGTGGATTCTTGCCTTTCAACTCGAATCTTTTCGAAAGCATCTTGTACCTCTCATACATGAAAAGCTATGTGTCTGTGCAGTGTTTGCTTCGGAGTTGACAAGAACGAAAGTGAGACCTGGTCATCCGAAAGTCCCAAGATATCTGCGGCGACATCACAAGCTGTCTCGCAAAGATCCACCACATCGGCTTGGGCCTGCCGGACATGCCACACACAGGCAACACAAAAAACACGCCACGGCTGCCTTCGCAAGCATTTGTGCAGTGGGACCTGCACAGCAAGCGAATGCCGACGACCCGTGAGCTGGAGCTCTGCTGTCGGCGTTTGAGCTGTCGACACGTGACAACCACATGAAGTCGTCGCCATGGTGCAGGTTCTGTGGAAGGTTGCCCTTTCACGCTGAATTTGGCACCAATGTGCTTCCTGTCGATGCTGAGCTAAACCTTCGCGCAACTGCTGCTGATAATTTCTCTCCTCCGAAGGTGCTCGATGTTGGCACTGCGTATGCCCTCCAAAGCTTCTTTCAGCTTTGCCCCGGCTGCCAGCACCTCATCTTCATATTGACCACTCCTTCCTGTACTCCCAAGTTCTCTATAACCAAGTCACTGAGTCGGGAAGCCACACGCGGCAGGAGACACCAGCGTTGCTCGCCAAGTCCATGCCGATGGACAGAGCCCGCCTCCAACGCGCAGCAACACATGATTCGAACAAACTGTGCCCCAACTGCATGCTTCTGCCTGTGGCAATCGCCGCCCTAAGGCTTCGCACATGTATGCGTCAGCTACAGCTTGTCAGACGTGTTAGCCTTCCCGGCTAATCCCCAGCGAAATTTAAAAGCTTGTTGTTCTAGCATATTTGCGTTTGCAACAATGGCACCAAAACGCAACGTGTGTCTGTCCATGTGGTGGGCTGGGCTGTCGGTGGGCCGTATATTTGCCTAGCAGGCTGCCTCTGGCGCTTCTTGTTCTAAAAAGCAACGTCCTGATCAATTATTTGAGCATGCATTTGCAACATGGACGAAGCATGGAATCGACGCAACCGCACCTCCAAGAAAAAGACTTGTTGTACATCACCGTGCTTGTCGGAAAATTGGACCGAATGGTCGTGACCTGCTGCTTGTCAGCCGCAGCAGCACTGGGGTGCCCTTCTCGTGGAATGTTAACGAACCTGCTACATCGAAATACATCGAAGATGTGCGACCTTTTTTTTTCCCACGCACCTTTTCACCGTCCGCTTAACAGGCAAGTCCAGGTCCCCGTGCAACCTGCGCACCAGGGGCCGAGGCGGCTGGGGTTGGGAGGGACTGCATCGTGCAGTACGTCCTCGAGTCGCGTGTGCTGTGCGCTAGGCAGGGCGCCAGCGATGCACGGCGCTCCAAGCAGCGTGGCAGCAAGTTTGCTTTGCAACGCCACGCTCAAGAAACCCCACCAACGGCGCAGCCAGCCCTGCCTGGCCGCAGAGCGCAATTCGGCGCTCCAGCGTCCTCCAGCTTCGCAGGCAAGGACACAAAAACGCTGCGGCCCCGGTCGCAACCGCTCAGGGTAAGCCACACGCTTGCGCCTCTCTGCGACAACGATGGCAGCGCCGTCGCGCGTGGCAGCAGGAAAGATGGGCCCGTCCCTCACGCGTCAAAGGGGACACGAGTGTGACGTCGCAACACAACGCCCCGCCAAGTGGAGTCGCACCGTAGACGACAAGGTCGAGGCGGCGGCGATCGGCTGGGCTACGTCAGGGGCGGACATGCGTGCCACCCACTGCTGGGGGACTATCTAGCCCTCAGGTCCAACAGCTTCGCGCGCGATGCGAGCATGCTCGAGGGGCTTGGCTCGGCGGGCGAGCAAGCCGGTATGGGGGCACGCGGCGGGGTGATTGGCGTAGGCGTCGACAGCGGACCGTGCCCGTGTGCGCCACCCAGAGCCTCCAAAGTTCTTTAAATGTGTTTAAGGGGCCTAGTCGTTTTTCCGTTTTGCGCTTTTTAATGGAAATATCGTCCTTTTTGTAGTCCTTAATTAGAGCCTTTTTTTTTAAGCCGCACATATGTAGCATGGTCTAGACACATGAAGAGATGTATACGTGCACAAATAAATGTTATACATGGCATGTTTTTATATTATTCTTGATGTGTGCATGTATATGTATATGTATACGGCAAATTCTCCTATGCAGGAGGATCGTTGCGATTGGTCTGCATGCATGCTGTGCATAGCCGACCACAAGCTCAAGTTAGTTTTGCGAAGTTACTGCCATGGCGACTCCGCGAGCCAAAAACACTGCAAGCGAAAAGGATGTAGCGAAAGTGCTTCGTGGGGCAGGCATCCTGCAGTTGCCCGAGGAGAAGGATTACATGGTCACGGACTTGAAGCAAGTCATCCTCAAATTTGAAGACTTCTTGGTTGACCTGTTGCAGCAGACTGCACGGCCCACGGTCCCCTTGCTGCAAGGTGCATGCTGCTTGGTGTTCAAGTCAGTGACCAAGCAAGACTGCAAGGTTTTCTGCAGTCAGCTCGTCGCAGCATTGAAGGAGGTGCGGGAGAAGAAGTCTGCCACGACAAGTAAAAAGCTTCCGCCGGCAGTGTACCGAGTTTTGTCGGTACTGAGGGCTCGCAGTGGCAACACCCCTGACAGAAGGATTTCGGATGCATCGGTCAGCCCGAGCATCGCGAGTCCTGCTCCGACCCAGAAACGATCTTGCAACTCCCAGGAGCCTGACATGGACATGAGCCCGATGAGCAAGATTATGAAGGCTTATGGCTTTTTTTTTTCTCGGACCTTTTTCCACCGTCAAGCGCGGTCAGCACCTACATCCTGCATCCTACCCTACCGCTACAGGCGGCCCGGGACGCGGCTCGGCTGGGGCCCGCTGGTCCACCGGGCATCCGCAAGGAGCTCGTACAGAGCCGGCGCGGGTCCGGCAGCACAGGGCTCAGCGTGCAGAGGCAGCTCGAGGAACGTGGTTGCAAGCGCTCGCTGCCCGGCAACAGCAACGAGGCCGCTCCACCGAAGCACCCAGGCCTGCGCACCTGGGCGGAGCGCGGCAGGCGTTGCCGAGGCGCGGGCACGCGCAAGCATGCGGAGGAAGGACACGGCTTGGATGCCGGTGGCTCTAGCACTGCATATATGGGCAGGGAGCTGCAGCCTAACAGTTCAAGGAGTGTGCACACAGTGGAGCGAATGGACTCCAGCCAAAGTGTCGTGGACTTGAGCTCGGCCGAGGAGGCACCTCCTGCAAAGGAGGAGCCTCCTTCCGATCCAGCCGCCGGCGGCGAGGACTTCAAAGATTACTTCGACGGCAGGCAAGGCTGCATGGTTCGAGCCTTCTCGGATGGAAGGCTGATCGCTTTAGGCACTCCTCTGAAACGGGTGAAGAATAAAACCAGTGTTCAAGAGAGATGTCCTTGAACGACCGTGAGACGCAGTCAGAAGTGAAACCATCGTCATGATCATAGTTTCAACTTGCCAAAGTATGCAAAAAAAGGACCAACACACACACACACACACACACACACACACACACACACACACACACGTACAAACAAAGAAGGAGTAAGACTTTTAAATACAGTATAATCAATGCCCCGCTCAGTCAGAGAGTGGATCTGGGACCCACGTTCACATTTCACACGCCGACGCATCACGGCAGATGGTGGCAACAAACACGACATTTCGTAAGATGTCACGTGCAGTGTTTATGGTTGGGTCTGTGCTGAAGAGTGTTTCCAAGCTCAGCATGTTTGATCTCCGAGTTTGCTGTCGCCAGCGGCGGCGTTGTTGGGAATAGGCAACACAATCCAAGAGTGCATGAGACAGGGTGTCACGGCCATTGGCGCAAAACCGGCATGAGTGCAGTACCATGCCGTTGCGATGACGCGCAGACCGACCGTCCAAGAAGTCATGATGACCACACCGCGCTAGACCCCAGAATCTGGCAGCCGTGGGACAAGCATGCCTGTAAACGACCCTGTGCAGTTGAGGTCGTCTCTGCCATCGAGCGTAGCACTCCAGGGAGTCAGTGCAGTGCAAAAGGTTTGAATAAAGCAAGTTGGAATGCCGAGATACGGCATCGCGTACATGACGCAACCAAGACTTCACAACCGTCTGGGGTGCACCGGTGACGATGCCCCAACTTGAGGGGGGAGCTACACCAATACGGGCAAGTTCCAGCAGTACAACATTTACCCAGGACGTCTGTTCAGCACAGGCGTCCCGGGCAATGCGGGCAGCGAGACAAGTGTAGGGCAGGGACAACAAGCGTGCTAGCAGGCCAGCCGCCTGCAACAAGCGAGCCGATGACAAGTCTAGCCAACCTAACTGCCCCTGTGTCGCAGCAGTCGGTGCCCCACGGGGCCACATCAGCAGGCGACGGCCCCATTGAAACATGCGTGCATTGACACGCTGTAACTGACGGGAATCGGGCACGAGTTCAAGGCCGAAGCAAACTGACGGTTGGACATATGCACGGAATAACTTTTCGAGAAAATGTACTGGCAAGTGATCTGTGTGTGACGCTGTCCAAGAAAGGCATGCAGCCATCCGACGTTCACCACGTGGTAGGACATGATCAATGTGAAGACGCCAATTCAAGCTATCATCAAAAACAACGCCAAGGTACGTGTACGTGCGTACCACGGGAACTAGCTGTCCATTTACGTGGAAGTTCATGTCACGGCACCGGGAACGGCCCGGGCCGAAGCACATAACGGCTGTCTTGTGAAGGCCCACAGCAAAATTGAAACGCCATGAACGTGCCCAAGCAGTTGAAGGCTTTTTGCAAGTCCGCGGGATCGTTGCACAAGATTCCAACATCGCCCGCATACATTAGAACCAAAACGTTATTACAGGCACGTTTGATTTTGGATGCAAGGCCGTTAACCAAGATGTTAAACCAGAACCCGCTTAAAACCGCACCTTGACCAATACCGTTTTCAACTTCCCAAGGGTCTGATGTGCATTCAGAAATGCGCACAGCGGCTGTTCGGTTGCAGACCAAGTCATCAATAAGATGCCACAGACCGCCCTGGACCCCTGCACGGTGAAGGCGCCACATGGCACCGTCACGCCACGCAACGTCAAAGGCTTTCCGTATGTCTAGGAAAGCGCAGTAGGTGCGGGTGTTTTGCCGCAAGCGCAGTGTTTCAAGGAGTGAATACTTTTTTTTTTTTAACGCACCTTTTTGCGACTGCGCAAGAGGAGTCCAGGTCCGAGTACAGGGCATTGGACGGGGGGTGCTCGGCGCCTGCAGCCAGCGGGCGTCGGCGAGGAGCTCGTGCAGGGCAGGCGGATCGCCAGCAGCACCGAGCTCTGCAGCAGCAGGGAGCTCCAGGAGTGAGGCGGCGAAAGCTCGCTGGGCAGCAACAGACAGTATGCCACTCCAGCGGTGGACCCATGCGGCCTGCACAGCGCGGCGTAGTGCGGCCGGCGCGCTGGCCGCGCGGGCTCGCGCCAGCAGCCGAAGGAAGGTGGCGGCCTCCTGGCTCCAGCGGCCTCCGGTCTCAAGGCCGAAAACGACAAGGCGGCAGCGGCGGGCACGGAGCAGTTCGGGGTAAGTCTGCCGGCGTTTGCGCTGCGCAGCTCGGTCCAAAGCAACCCCAGGCTGTGTATCAGCCGCTGGATGCGGCAAGCCTTCGCGCGAAAGCGGGGAGACTAGAATAGCACCGACAGCG